CATTTTTGGTGACCCCTGACCCATTTTTAGGGGTCCCAGACCCATTTTTGGGTATCCCAATCCCATTTTTTGATCCCCATTCCCATTTTTTGGGTTCCAATCTCATTTTTGGGTATCCCAAACCCATTTTTTGGGTCTCTGCCCCATTTTTTGGGGTCCCGATCCCATTTTCGGGGTCCCGGCCCCGTTTTCGGGGGTCCTGATCCCATTTTTGGGGGTCCTAATCCCATTTTTGGGGTTCTGATCCCATTTTTTGGGGTCCCAGCCCCATTTTTTGGGATCCAATCCCATTTTTGATGACCCCTGACCCATTTTCGGGGGTCCCGATCCCATTTTTGGGGTTCTGATCCCATTTTTTGATCCCCAATCCCATTTTTGGTGATCCCTGACCCATTTTTGGTGACTCCTGACACATTTTTTGGGGTCCTCGCCCCATTTTTTTGGGGTTCTGAACCCATTTACAGGGTCCCGACCCCATTTTTGGGGATCCCAGCCCCGTTTTCGGTATCCCAAACCCATTTTTGAGTATCCCAATCCCATTTTTTTGGGTCCCAGCCCCATTTTCTGGGATCCCGGCCCCATTTTTTGGGGTCCTGATCCCATTTTCGGGGTTCCCAATCCCATTTTTGGGGTTCCCCACCCCATTTTCGGGGGTCCCCACCCCATTTTTTGGGTTCCCAATCCCATTTTTTGGGTTCCCAATCCCATTTTTTGGGTTCCCGATCCCATTTTTGGGGTTCTGATCCCATTTTTGGGGGTCCCGGCCCCACCTGCTCGAAGAACTCGTCCATGAAGTGATCGCGGTCCACGGTCACCACTTCGTCCTCATCGTCGCTGTCCTTGGCCTGCGGGGGGCGCTGTCACCAGGGGGGCGTGGCCAGAGGGCGAGGCCACGCCCCTTTCATCCCCTGACCACGCCCCGCCCCCAAAAAACCCCGCCCCTCCCTCCAAAACCCCGCCCACTCTGCTCCCATTGGCCGACAGCCCCGAGTGGTCTGACTCCGCCCCTCCCACCGCCTCATTTGCATATCCCCGCCCCCCGCAGCCCCGTGATTGGCTCCCGCCTCCCCTGCTCATTTGCATGCGGCTCATTTGCATGCGGCGGCGATGATTGGCTGAAGGGCGAAGGGGATTTGCATAAAGGGGAGGGGCCTGGGGGAGGGGGCTCGCGGCTGATTGGATGAGATTGGGGAGGCCCCGCCCACTCCGGGGGGAGGCTCCGCCCACTGTGGGGACCACGGGACCCCCGAGTGACCATCGGAGTGACCAGAGTGACCAGTGACCCCCCCCAAATACCCCCAAATCCGCCAAAATTCACCAAAATTTACCAAAATTCACCAAAATCCCCCAAAAT